ACACCATTTCAGAATGACTAAATGCTGCATATGCATTTTGGAATTGTTAATATGTGAAAGATATTACAGATTCAGCAAGAAAGGAAATTTGTGCTTCCTTGTTGAACATTAAATTATTTTACTTTGCATTTTATAAGAGTACAAATTAAAACTGAGCCATTGAACTGCAATAAATCAACAGTGTCTCATTTCAAGAAATTTTTTGTACTGTACATAGATTTGTTCAATAAAACATTGTCCTTGTTGGTAATGAAGTTGTTCAGTTTTATGTAGCACGTTACTTCAAAAGGAATTAGGCTTAAGGTATATGTTAAATAAGAAATTTCTATTATGTTTCATAAGAGAATGAGGTATTTCAGTTAATATTACCATATTCAGGTTATTGAGTGATTTTAAAGAAAGAACATAGAAAACGCTAAAAGTCTACACAAAATAGATATTTTTGACATTACTTAAACTAATGTCCATATGCAGGAATTACAAGTTGATAGAACACTGGTTACTAAAGTCATTTCAGGTAAGTGGTTTCAGTGTGAAATAGTACGCTCTGGAAACTTAGTAGGTGGAAAACAAATATCAGAACTCTCCAAGACAGTGGATGGACTGATCTGCACTGGTAATTCTTCAGAGATGAAGAGCCTCTGGTGGAACTTAAAGACTGAAGGCGCTTTGAAATAAGATGTAAGTTATGAAAATTACTTCCTACGAAAGTATTTCAATGGGAAAACGTTCAAACCAATTAGTAATCTGTATCTAAAAGTGGGGTTCTTGGGCATGAGGGCTCTACTCTTTTGGCTCACTAACAAAGGAAAACCTCCTACACTTTTTGCTATAACTTGCAGCTTGGGGCTGAAGTAGAGAGAAACTCTTTGATACGATGAGAGCACTGCAAATGAAAGAACAGATATTGTGTTAATTACGGTGATTTGCACATATTACAAATGTTATGCTTTGAAAAACTATGAGAAAATTACTGAAACATTCTAGAGCTGAGATCTAGAATTCTCCATCTATGATTTATGGTCATATGATCTTAGACTATTAAATAAATGTATTGAGGTATTTAGATAAAGTTATTGGGGTTATCTAGACTTTCCATTTTTTTCTTTTCTGAAATTTGAGAAATGCTGGGAAGCAATCAAATATTAAATACACTTCCAAGATAAATTAGATTGCTTTCATAGCATAAGGTCCATACTAATTCAAGAATCAACTGATAACAAGGCCAGAAGTTTGGGCTATATATCAATATTTAAAATGGAGGCGATCCAATATTACATGGAATAAAAACTAAAGGGAGAGAGGTTCATGCCTTATTTATGGGTGCTGCAACTAGAGAAGAAATTACTGTGTACCAGGTTACTTTATGTGTGTTACCTCTTATTGTTAAAACAACCCAAAGGTAGATATGAACAATGCTTTTTAGACACCAAGGCTCAGAAAGATTAAATAACTTGACTAGTCACACAGCTAGTAAATGGAGAGGTGGAACTGAAAAGTCGGATGTTTCCTCCTAAAATCCTGCCATGCAGTTTCCATTCTGCCATGCAGTTTTCCCTACAAATTGTAGAGCATGAGTGGATCTAATATATCCAGATGGAGAGGGTTAGTCTTGCCTAAGGATCAGTGATTTCACAAAGGATGAAGTCTGGTACGGACATGGCTGTTTGATGTTCCATTCTCTTCTACTAGCAGTGATTCTTAAGAGTGTGGTCCCTAGAAGAGCAGAATCGCTATCACCTGAGAACTTGTTAGAAATGCTAAATTTGGGGGAGTTCCCTGGCGGTCCAGTGGTTAGGAATCTGTGCTTTCACTGCCATGTCCCCAGGGATCGGGGAACTAAGATCCCATAAACCATGAGGCGTGCCCGCCGCCCCCCCTCAAAAAAGAAAGAAATGCTAAATTTTTGATCAGGTGAGGGACCAATCTGTCATTTAACAAGTCCTCCAGGTAAGGATTGAAAACCACAGATACAAAGCAACCAGTTTCTTCATAAAGTATTAAATTTATAGAGCCTTAGAAACTCAATTTCCAGGACATTTAAAGAAGTCCCCTATTAATAGGTACTTAAATAACTACTGTTGAATGAATGGATATTTTAACAGATCTAATACCCCCAAACAATTCTAATCTAGAGAACTTTTTTCAAAGTATTCAGTGATTGAAACTACCACAATGTAATTTAATGAAAACAGCTCAAAGATGTGTGATCAGCTATATTCAAATTCCAGCATGATAGTTTTAAGGCAATTAAGTGTATCCCACTGAGCTCAGACTTCCACATCTGTTAAAAGGGGAGAGCCGTTCTTGCAAGGTTAAGAATTAAGCTCCTGAAGGGAGCTGAGGCCTTCCTGTTAGTGATTTTACTAACTTTCTCTTGGTTCCAGCCAAAAACAGCCATGCTGTTTTATTCCTACTACTGCTCCCTTTACCTGTAATTCTTTTTCCACCCCACTCCTCATTCTTTGCTTTATCTTCTTGGGCATCACCACACTCTCCAGAAAGTCTAATCTCTTGACAATTCTGGATTTCTCTATTGAAACCTGTTTCTCCCAGTCTTCCTCCTCTCAGTAAACAGCAACTCCAGTTGCCCAAACCAAATCCTTGCAATCATCCCTGACTCATTATCGTGTCCTTCACTCTCACCTGGACTACTGTATTAATCTTCTAGTTGGGTTCCCTGCCTCTACTGTTGCCCTTCTGGCAGTCTGTTCTAGACACCAGCAGCCAAAATGATACTGTTTGAAACAAGTCAGATCATGCCATTCCTCAGTTTAAAATCCTCCAATGGCTTTACAATTCATTCATTCAACAAATACTTATTGCATACCTACTATGTGCCAGCCTCTGTAATAGACAATTGAAAAAAAATAATAAAAAAGAAACATAAAAATCCCTGAATCTCAGAACTCACATTCTACCGGGGGGGTGGTAGGGAGGGGGGACAAAAATACAATATAAGTGCTATAGAGAAAAATTAAGTGCGTAGGGAAAGTATAAGTAAGCATGGCATTGTAGGTGGTGTTTAAACAGGATGATGATAAAATACGATGATACCACCTCTTTGATAACTGTTGAGCAGGGATAGTAATGAATGAAGTTAAGGGAAAGAGAGCCACTCATATATGAGGGGAAAATGTGCTAGGCTGAATAGCAAGAGCAAAGGCTCTGAGGCAAGGACCTGCATGGCAAGTTTAAGGAACAAAATAGCAAGGGAACCACTGACTGGTCTGGAGTGAGAGACTGAGAGAATAAAAGGAAATGCAGAGAGAGGTAAAAGATAAAAGCCAAAGTTTTTACAATGGGCTGCAAGACTCTAGACTGTACTGATACAGTAGCCACTAGCCACAAGTGGCTATTAAAATTTAATTAAAATTCAAATAAAATTTAAAATTCACCGGCTGAGCTGCACTAGCCACATTACAAGAGCTCAATAACCATATGTGCCTGATGGTTACTGTATTAGCTCAGATGCAGAATATTTTCATCTCAGAAAGCACTTTTGGACAAGTGGTTCTATATCAGTGGTTCTCAACTTGGGGAATTTTGCCCCCCCACCCCAGGAAACATTTGAGGAACAAGGTATTTTTGGTAAGGGAGAGGAGGTGCTACTGGCATCTAGTGGGGAGAGGTCAGGGATGCTGAAGCATCCTACAATGTTGTGGGACAGACCCACAACAAAGAATTATCCTGCCCAAAATGTTAGTAGTGCCACGGTTGAGAAACCCTGCTCTAGATCAATCTTGACAACTCCAACCTCACCAGTCACTGCTTCCTCTTTGCACAAGCTGCTGCAGCCTCCTGGCCTCCTTCCTACATGCCAAGCACTCTGTTCTTTCCTCAGAACCTCTTCTTTTGCTTCTTTCTAGAACACTCTTCTGTGGTTCAGTTTCTCACTTTTTTCAGGTCTTTCCTTCAATGTCACTTAGAGAAGCCTTTCTTCACAGCCTGTATAAAATAGCAACATCCTCTCCTCCATCCCTCTCTTTTTGATTTCTCTCCACAGAATTTCCTGCCATAGTATAGTTTCTTTTACGTTTATTGTCTATTTCCTTTCACTAGAATACAAGCTCCAAAGGACTTGCATTTGTTCCCAGCATAAAGACCAGTGTCTGGCAAATCATGCTCAGTAAACACATTTTAAAAAAAATGAACGAATGAAAAAGTTGGGCATGTCTTCTTCCATTTGGTTCCACACCAGTATTGTGAGCACTTATCTCTTTATCTGCAACACTCCCAAAAGCTCCTTGAAGGAGGGTCTGTGTCATTTCTCGGAATCTTCAATATCTAGCATAGTAGGCACTCAACGCTTAATGACAAATGAAGAATTGGTATCTGATGAGTAAATGGTACCCCCAGTAACATCCACTGGCAAATCAGTTTAACCATGGTTTGAATGCCTTATTTTAAAGACTGTATTTACAGTTCATTTTGACTATTTAGCTGTGATATTTTTTTAAAAAAGTTAAATCTGCTCACCTGTATCTGCAGGTGTGTACATTTCAGCTACTAACTGGCAATAATCTAATTAAATGTTAAAAATCTAAAATATGGCTAAAACAATGGAAGGAGACAGAAGCCAGTGACAATGCGTTGAAGTCTGAAGTTTCCCTCTCGTGAATGTTGACACCAACAGTGGTAACAATAGCTGATATATACTGGGCTTTTTCTAGGCGCCAGGCACAGTTCTTCACCCCCTCCCTGCGCTTCAACAACCCTATGAGGTAGGTATCTCTACTAGATTCGTTTCGAGACAGAAAACTGGAAGACCAAAGAGCTTGCTCTCGGTCACAGTTAGTAAATCACGGGATAAAACCCTGGTAATCTGGCTTTCAAAGACCCCAACCTTAAACTATTCGTGATACTGCCTCGCCTAAAGCCAAGCCGGCGAGAATAAGAAGGGAAGCAACAGCGGACCGCAGCTTGTTGGGGAATTTAAGTCAGCTGCAAGGCGGGCAGGCGTGGCAGGATAGGTGATTTTTTTCCCCTTAACTTTTCCAAGTGTAATGTTAAACAAAACCAAATTGTTTTAACACAGAACTACGTAATTTAAGAATATCAAACTACAGGTGCTCCCAACGCAGAAGTGGCCGCAGAGAACTTTCGAGCGCTCCCGGGGTCCCGGCCCAAAGGCGGGGAGGAGACGCCTCCATTGGCCGGCCCCGCGGCATCACGGGAGCTTGTCTTGCGCTGGGGCCGCTGCCGGCTTTCCGCGCACCTGCCCTGCGCAGCCTCCCAGGCGTTCTTTTGGAGAAGGGACTCCTGAGGAGTTTAGGTTTCGTTTTCCCTTGTGGAAGGTCGATGTTCCCGGTGTAAATGCGGAGTTTCCCTAAAGTGAGACCCGTGGGACTCCACTCAGTCCCCGAGAGCCCGGAACCACCGGTCGGAGCACCGCGTTCCCTTAGTGCCCTCATTAACGATCACTTACGCGCCCACGGCTCTGGAATACCCGAGGCCTTTTGGCTGCGAACAACGGGAAGAGCATTTCCGGTACCTGTTGCCACGGCGCCGGCCCAGTGGGCCTAAGGGGGCGAAGTTATTGGCGTCCTCTCCCCGCTTTCTGGGGGTAGAGATGTCGGGGCTCAGCTACTCAGAGATGGAGGGCTGTCGTAACCTGCTCGGTCTGTTGGACAACGACGAGATCATGGCCCTATGCGACACCATCACCAACCGCCAGGTGCAGCCGGAGGACCGCCAAGGTAAAGGTAGACCCTTCTCCCCAAGGGCGGCCGTCCCTCCCCAGACCTCACCCGGCCCCCCGCTGGCGGGAGCGTGTGAGTGGAGGCCGTGGTAGGCCTCCTTCCCAGCCCGTCCGGGATTGCGCTTGTGCGGAACCCTCGGGAATCTCGGCCCCTATAGCTGCTCTGTTGCTTCAGATGCACGCTGAAAATGGCGCTGCTTCCAGGTTTTATTCATTATACGTTGTGGGCAAATGCTGCTTGTTTCGAAGATGCAGAGTACGTGAATAGTGATTTTGTTTGTTTGTTTTTTGAAGATTTCCGGGGAGTCAGGGTGTTTTCCATTTTCAGTTTCGATCAGCTGAGGAGTGTCAGCCGCTGCTCATTTTCTTCAAGCTTGGGGGAGGATATCTATCATAAACACTTTTTATCAGTGTGCTGCGTAAAATAACTACTGTGATAAAAGAGCAGATAGGATCAATCCATGTCTCTTTGGATCCAAAGTTTTTCAGAGATGATTCTGTGTACTAGGACTACATTACTTTCAGAGCCAAATAAACATTTTGGTAGAGTAGATTTCATGGATTATAAATATTCAGTGTGGTTGTAATGTAATGAGTAGCTTAAGCATTTATGATTTTGTATATTACCTGGCTAGTTATATTTTAAATTTGCTGAATTTTAGTTTAAAATGAGAAAATGTCCGCCTCCTGTATTAGCATATGACTTAAGTATCTACAAAAGAGTCTGCCTTTTAAAACTGTCTTTCTCTGCTTTTAACATTTCTGCCATTTAAGGTCATTCATTTGAAAGTGAACCAGGAACACTAAGTGAATAAATTTCTAAGAATTTAGACTGAAAATAATTTTAGACTTAATGTAGTTCTTTGGCATTTATATATTTTACATGCTAATCGCCTTCTAACAGTCTTGGTGAATGTGAATTTAAAATTGTAATAGATAAAATTGCTGAATTTAATTGATGGTGGATCCAAAAGCAAACAAGAAACGAAACTACCCAGTACAAAAATGTTAAATGATTTGAAGTCATTTCTCAGAGAGGAAAAAATAATAAGCATATTGAAAGATACTCAACATCTTTAGAAAGCAATGAAATGAAAACCAAAACTACATGGTGCCTTTCATATGTACCAAGTTGGCAAAAACTAAATGTAAAAACGTCAAGTGTTGTTGATCTTGTGAAGTATGTCGTTGATAACTACTGGGGGAGTGTAAATTAGAACTAGTACTTTGGAAAGAAAACAAGTTCGATATTATCTCCTTAAATGGAAGGTTACTTACCTGAGCTTCTCAAACTTGAATGTGCCTATGTGTCCCTCAGTGATCTTGTTAAAATGCAGATTCTGATTCAGTAGTTTTGGAGTGGGCCCAGAAATTCCACATTTCTAACAAGCTCCAGGTGATGCTCATGCTGCTTGCCCCTCTGGGCTGGGAGACAAGTGTGGAAATGTCCAAAGTAATAGTATTTGTAATTGGATACACATAATAAAAGTCTATAAACGAAAGGATAGATACCTTGTGGTATAGTCTATAATTACCTATGGTACAGCTCTGAAAATGAATTAACTACAGCTGTGTCTAGCCACATAGATTAATCTCAGAAACATTAAAAGTTAATTATAGAAGACTATATATATTGATGGATTAGATTTATAGAACATTCAAAGAAATACCAAACTATATTTTGTAGGGATACATAGTTATGCTGTACAACTCTAAAGAAAATCGAGGGAATTCTCTGGTGGTCCAGTGGTTAGGACTCTGAGCTTCCACTACTGGGGGGCCCTGGTTTGATCCCTGGTCAGGGAACTAAGATCCCGCAAGCCCGGCAGAGTGGCCAAAAAAAAAAGAAAAGAAAAGAAAAAAGGAAAGAAAATCGAGAGAATGATAAAATTTTGGAGAGTAGCTACATGTGAGGTGAGCGAGGAGAGAGAGGGAATAGCATTAAATAGGGAGAGGTAAAATGAGGCCTCAAAGATACCAGTAATTCCTGTGTCTTAAGCTGTGTTGTGTGTATATAGGAGTTCGTTTTATTACCATTCTGTATACCTCACATATGTAAAAATAATCTTTAGTCTGTTGTTTAATAGAAGTTCTTTAAAATTAAGAGTCTTGGTTCTGCCACTTCTTAGAAATATGATTGTTGATACTTCATGTATCCCTGACTTTTGTTATCTGTAGAGTGAGGAGATTGAAAAGTATTGTAATTTTACCTATATTTTAGGGATTGTAAATGAATTTAGTTCCATTGACCTTATTAAAATTTTTTCTTCTCTTATTCAAATTTTTCTTAAAATACAACCATTCTTTAAAAGAAAATGCTTAAATTCACAATCTCATATGAGAAGTGAAAGGAAGGAGGAATTTTAGGTGGGGAAATTTATAGTTTAAAGAAATTTTTTTAAAATCCAAAACTTGACAACCTACTTCCTTTTTTTTTTTTTTTTTAATAAATTTATTTATTTTTGGCTGTGTTGGGTCTTCATTTCTGTGCGAGGGCCTTCTCTAGTTGTGGCGAGCAGGGGCCACTCTTCATTACGGTGCGTGAGCCTCTCACTATCGCGGCCTCTCTTGTTGCAGAGCACAGGCTCCAGACGCGCAGGCTCAGTAGTTATGGCTCACGGGCCCAGTTGCTCCGCGGCATGTGGGATCTTCCCAGACCAGGGCTCGAACCCGTGTCCCCTGCATTGGCAGGCAGATTCTCAACCACTGCGCCACCAGGGAAGCCCCCACTTCCTGGTTTTTAGAAATGATAACCGTCTTATACAAAAGCAGTAATGCCATGACAAGAGTTTATAAATATTATTTGATAGAGTTTCTGCTGACCCTGGACAAATTTACAAGTGACTCATGATTTTCTATTAATCTTCATAATTTTCTTTTAGATGCCATTCATGCAATATTAGTGTACAGTCAAAGTGTCGAAGAACTTTTGAGGCGTAAAAAAGTCCACCGAGAAATCATATTTAAGTACTTGGCAACACAGGGGGTTATTATACCTCCAGCTACTGAAAAACACAATCTTATTCAGCATGCAAAGGATTACTGGAAAAAGCAGTCACAATTGAAATTGAAGGAAACGCCAGAGCCAGTTAAGACAGAGGACATTAGACTCTTTGAACAGGTAAAACAGACCTTATAGTCATATCCTGAACTGTAGTTCTGTGTAAAAATCTTTAGATAATCCTAGATCTGGAATGATGTGGTTAATGTTTTGTGTTTTTTTTAATAATTTTAGCTTTACTTTCTTTTTTTTGCATCCTAAAGAAAGAGCAGTAAAGCACCTGAGACAAAGTGTTTTTGATATTTAGTAATGTATATGTAATATTCTATTGATTTGTGAGAAAAAATGTTTTGTATCCCTTTATCAAATGGGGACTATTGATTTTTAAAGAGAATGGATAGACTACAGGATCAATTTAATTTTAATTTAGCCTCTGGTTCTCCAATTTCTTTTTTCCACTTTAGAAGAATGCTGTTGTAAGCCCTTTCTCATTTTGAAGACTTTCTTTGGTATTAAATTGCAAACATTTCATGAAAGAAACTTAAATTTTTTTTATTTTTTTTATTTGTTAGCTAGGAAAAAAATCCTGTTTTAGTAATTTCCTCCAGCTGACATTGGCTGTTCGTATTTCTTTTTATCTTCACTGTACATTTTAAATATTGTGTGAATATTTAAATATCGATTGAACCTTTAGGTAACTTGCAGTTTTTAAACTACATACCCACATTGAATTAATGGTATTTTACAGTGAGAGAGGTTTGCCTTCACATTAGGAAAGGAACTGCTAAGCCTTCCTTAATGTACTGAAAAGAATGTTGACTTTAAATTCATATAGATATGACTTCGTATTAGGGTCTGCTGTATACTAGCTGTAAATGAGCAAGTAAGGACCTTTGTGAGCCTTGTTTATAAAACGGGCATAACGATAATATCTGTGTCATAAAGCTTGTGGAGAAAGACGGAAATAGCACTTAAGTGCCAAACACAGTGCCCAGTACATTCAGTAATAGCATGTGCCCGGTAAATACAAGATCTTTCACCACCTAGATGAGGTACTGTGCTCTGGAATACATTGTTGAATAAAATCTAGCCTATCAGGTGTATTTTTGCAGTATTCATTTTGGAAAGAAATAATATAAAATAATCCCAATCATAGAAAATAAGCAATTTCAATCATATTAGAAGTGTCTGTTTAAAGACGTGTTTATTATAAACTTTGCTGCATATAAAATATATCACAGTGAATATATTCATTTACAGCATACAGTTTGAAAGTTTTGACAAATAACACACCTGTGAAATCACTGCCACAATCAAGAGAAAATGCTTATGTAAATCCTTATTATTGGCTCTTAATTCATGCTGATATTTTAAGAGACTTTGAACCTTAATTTCTTAGAGGAATTTTCAGAAGTTTAAGCTGAGAAATTCTAAAATGACCTCCCCTTTTTGAGAAATAATTTACTGTGCAAGATGGGCTCAGTGAGTTCACAGGTAGTTCATTTCCTTTCTGCTATAATTAGTACCTTAAAAGTTAGCTATGAAAGAGGCAAGATAGTAAATAGATACAAGAATTAACGTTGGTTTTATTAATCAACAGGAGAAAGAAGATAAAAAAGCTGAAAACGTTGATTTTCGTCGATTAGGTGAAGAATTCTGTCACTGGTTCTTTGAACTTCTTAATTCTCAGAATCCTCTTCTGGGACCACCTCAAGATGAATGGGGGCCACAGCACTTCTGGCATGATGTCAAGCTTAGGTTTTATTACAACACATCTGAACAAAATGTGATAGACTACCATGGAGCAGAAATTGTGAGCCTTCGTCTGCTGTCACTAGTGAAAGAAGAATATCTTTTTCTCAGTCCCAACCTAGATTCCCATGGACTGAAATGTGCTTCTTCTCCCCATGGTCTAGTTATGGTTGGAGTTGCTGGGACTGTCCACCGAGAGAACACTTGTTTGGGCATTTTTGAACAAATTTTTGGACTCATCCGCTGCCCTTTTGTGGAGAATACTTGGAAAATCAAATTTATCAACCTGAGAATTATTGGAGAGAGTTCCCTTGCTCCTGGAACATTAATGAAACCAGCTATTACACTTGAACCAAGTGATCTAGAAGCCTTTTATAATGTAAACACTTTGTGTGGTCCAGTGAAGGATGACTCAGTGTAAGGCAGGCATTGGATAGTGAGACTGGAGACCAAACTTTATCTAGTGGAAATGAGGCACTGTTGAACAAAAGAGAACTAATTTTACCTAGCCCTTGAAGCACTGAGTACTATATTTCAGTCTGAAAAATCTTCTATACAGAAATTCTTCCAAATACTACATCAGTAATGTCTAAGTGATTTCAGATTTGGGGATTGACATATTTTAGTTGAAATGTCTTTCTTGACTACAGACTAACATGTTATGTGAACACTTGCCTCTTTCTACTTGAGTTGCAGCAAATGTTCTGAAGGCTTCATGCAATTCATCAAATAAATCCCACTTTAGATGTAACTAACTGTGTGCCTTAGAAACCAGTTAATATTTTCATTTTACTTGGTGGATATTCTGCTAATATCTGTACTTGTCATGCGGGAAAAAATTAATAGTGTTCAAGGCTTCCCCTTTTAATTTTCTCATTTACTTTTGTCTAAATCTGGGTAATTTTACAAATGCATCTCATGACAGTATTGCTTAAAAAATACAAATTTTAGAGATGTTTACTGTAAACTCAGTAAATGAGTAAGCTCACTTTCTAAAATGAGTAAACTCATTTTAGAAAACTTGAATGACATTCTTATACAAAAAGTCCAGTAATTTAGCTGGTAGAAAAAAATCTAATTTGCCTTTCAAAATATTTGAGGAACATTTTTCAGAGTTATCTGCTGTTGTCCAAGCTAAATATCTTAAAATCTGCAACACTTTCTGAACAATTTTGGGCAATGGTAAGTGCTGTTCTCAAAACAGACTTTTTTCTTTATCTAAAGTTTCGGCTAACAGTTTTATAGAGCATTTATTGTAATAGCATATAAAGGAAACATACTATTGAAAATTTTTTTAAAGGTTTGCCCAGTTCCTAATTTAAATGAGTTACTGTGTTTTCTCTTGAATGATTTTAGAAGAGGTGACCAAAAAAAAAAAAAAAACATATATTGAGATATACTCCCACATCATAAATTAAAATTATTAGGATTTTTTTAACCTCTTAATTTGTTTTACTAGATTTGAGTTACCAGGTTAAGTTGCCAGGTTACACAGTTGGTTTCAAGTTTAAATTCCTCATCACCCAGCAGCTACTTGCTGAATCTGAATTTAATTAGTAATTTTAATTTACAAAAATCCCATTTGGAAAAAATTCAACTGGGAAATGTGATGAGGTATTGTTCATATTAATTTTTTTAACTTTAACTCTGCTCATGACCATCTAGGGTAACTGATAAAATTTTGGAAGCAGGAGGAAAATATTAATCTTTTTTTTTTTTTAGTCCTATGCCTCTTACGAGGAGTACAAATTGGTATGTCCTAAAATAAGAACTTAATAAAGAAGGGAAATCCCTTTTTCTGCTGTAAGAATAGTTTTTTGTTTCGATTTAAACCTGTTATCTTTTTCTTTAAGTTTGAAGTATCATTATAGCATGTTATCGATAAATATACAAAGTAAAGGATAAAATTTGAAATTATTCCCATCAGTTTTCTTTGTGCTATTGATGTCAAGTATTATTATCAAGAAATAATACCAAAGATGCTCAGGATGGGCAGAAATTACCTGTAGATATGTTCAGTACTGAATTTTTGAATGTGTAATGCTCAAGGAAGGCTGTAATCTGCATGTTCTTTTAATCACCCTTAAAAATGTGAAATCTTTCCGATAGACCAAATGAGAATTAGAGCTATATTTTATTTCCTTTGAATCCCCACCGCTGGGCACACAGTAGGACCTAATGTCTAAGTGAATGGGTGAATGAATGAGCAAAAGAAGCTTATATACTGTATAAAAGACTTTTTTGCATGTAGATTTTGTCTTTGGCTCTAGTCATTAGTGGTGGTTTTGGGGTTATATCATGTTTGACTTTAATACGTGAATACACAAACTTTTAGACCCCAAACTAAGATTTAGGATAATTTTAACTTTCCATTAAAATTCACTGACTTTCAAAAGCCCAAGGTCAGAGTAGGATATACTGGAGGGCCCTAAGATACCTAGAAACCATTATAAGGGAAGTGTATACTTCCTGTTCAGAGAAAGAAGACCTAGAAGAACTGAAATTTGCTCATGAAGCTTAAAGCTTGGTCAGGCCTTTGAGAAGGTCCAAAAGCACAGTGCAGATTGAACGCTACTTTTACTACCACTCACTACTCTGTTTATGTTAGGGAATAGTAGAGACTATAGCTTTGTCTAGTACTTCATTATACTCAGCTGGTATTTGTGAAGTTTGTGGAGTAAAGTAGTAAAGAATACAACTAACTCCACACATAATTCATAGTAATTGGGTGGTCAAACCAGGGGACACCCGATCTTTATTTACTGGAGGCTGATTTGCTATAGCCAACAGTATACATCAATATCCTTTTTTGTTAAAAACTTAAAAGTAATAGTTGTATTGGGATGTTTTACTAATATCCAGAATACCAAAAAACGTATTTCATGTGTCTTACTAAAATACCAAATAATAGAAAAAAAGCCGTATCTAATTTATTAAATCAACTTGAAAATGGCAAACAGGAAAACATTCTTGAGTTTTCAGAAAGGCAACATTTTTATGCTAAAGGAAGGCTACTTAGTCCCAGTAAGAAATTGTAATAGCACCCCAGAAAAGGATTTAAAGAATAATGGTTTAACTAAATGAGATAATCAGAAACATTGTGTTTTAACAAAATGGCTCTTGTGGCTTAAAAGGTCATAAAAATGAGTGAACCATACCTTGATGTTTTTCTCACCATCTATTTTCACAAATTTAGATTCCCTTTTCACTGCTTTTTTGGGTTGCAGGGGATAGTCATTGACCTTTTGAAAAAGAGAGCTATATTCTTTCTAGAAAAAATATGTTTGCATATAGTATTACAATTTTTGCATATTTCATTGAGTTCTTGGACTTCCCTGAAGCACATCTGTGAGTCCTAACAGGGATCCTTCTGCTCCATATTCAAATCCTGCCGTAATAATTTTATTTCCCCCAGACTACTACTCTACTGTGTTAAAAATTAAAATTATTTTTAGAAACTTTTGTGCCCTTGCCAGAGTCCTTAAGCTAGAGGACTAAATTTTACGAACGAAAGAATAATCTCTAGAAAGTCTGTCAGTTTATGATAGTTGTTTGTATTTTGTTTTTCAATAGATGTTAGCTATTAAGGCGAAACCTACTGCAGTACTGTCAAGTGTAACATGAATGCAGAATTCATTTTATTTGGACAAGACAAGTTCAATGAACATGCTTTGGAGAAAGTGATAAAAATGTGAAAAAAACATTAATGTTCTTAAGATCTTTACAAAACTTTATCCTAAGGAGATGTCTATTTGGTAATGTTTGCATATTGCTAATTCTAATGAAAGATTTTAAAAATATGAACATTTCTTCTGAAGGGTCTATATTTGTGATCAGCTCCCTCCCCCTCTCCTCCCCAACCCTATTTATAACCTTTGTATATAGCCAGTTTGAAGGTACACAGCCCAGCTGTAATGCTGGGAAATAAGACTTATGGATCTGGGTTCTCTTCAAGTTTATATGCATATATTTATTGAGCATCTACAATCTGTAAGTCACTGAATCAAATATAAGATAAAATAATACATCAATAAGTTGATTTACCTCAACTTCTCATGTTGAATTCAAATCTCAGTCTCTGGGTTTAGATATCTTAAAGTGAGAGCTACATTAGGCCCTTTGCTAGAGTTGGAAGGAAAATAATTTCAGAACTGTGTCAGAGTGCACTAAATCCTTTCAGCTTTACTTTTTCTAGTTTGAACCTTTCCTGTAGTCTTTCAGTAAAGTAATATTAAAATTGACTATGATGTTTACTGTGAGTTATAAAAGCCTATTTTTTCTTGCACTTTATTTTCAGTCTGACTTTTGCTACTCCCTTATTTTGAAAGAATTTAAACTCGATTCCTCATTTCCTCACATGTAAAAATGAACCAGTTAGATGATTTCTAAGATCTGGAACAATTTTGTTACAGGTTACACGATTTTGTGATTGTATGCCTTCTCAGCAACTTAAGAATATTACTTTCAAATGAATTTGTAGTTCATTATTAAGGAAATTCTTTTATTATTTTGCTTCCTCATAAATCATGCTCATTGAAAAAACAAAGAATGAAAAATGTGTTTTTCAATCATTTTTAAGGATATGTGTATAGTATGTTTCTATTTACAGAGGAAATAAAAAGATTAAAAAATTACAGATCATATCTAGAATAGAAAAGGGAAAAGTATGAAGCCTTTAAAATACTGTCCTACTTTCTAATCACTAGAAATGCTTAAGTTGTTTGAAAAATTGATGTTCTGTACAACTTTTTTGCTTTGTTGCATATGGTTAAAATATATGTCCATGTTTTAGTCAAGAAGAGTGTAAAGTGGTTGACAGAAGGCCAAATTATAGACTGACAGCAATCCCTAGTAAAAATAAAGATGTTAATAAAATAATCAAATATAGATGACTCCAAGAGATTGAGTAGTAGGAGTTGGCAAATATTTAAGAGTGACATTGGAGACAAGTGGCAGATTTGGGGTAGGATTTTTCTGTAGGAAGCATGGCCCTGGATGGATACTGCTCTTAAGATCACTGAAAGTGGGGCTTCCCTGGTGGCGCAGTGGTTGAGAGTCCGCCTGCCGATACAGGGGACACGGGTTCGTGCCCCGGTGCGGGAAGATCCCACATGCCGCGGAGCGGCTGGACCCGTGAGCCATGGCCGCTGAGCCTGCACGTCCGGAGTCTATGCTCCGCAACGGGAGAGGCCACAACAGTGAGAGGCCCGCGTACCGCAAAAAAAAAAAAAAAATCACTGAAAGTTATTCTAGGAAGTATAATGGAAAAACATTTGTTGAGCAGATAGGAGGTTTTGCTGTACTGACTGCATTGATTAGAGAAGTACAGCTTTATGATAAAATGAGTTTAGAATGCAGAAACTAGATAACGATAGAAAATTTTAGCATGTCAGGTCCTTTAATGCTGGAACTAGTAATAGAACAATCAAAATCATTGACCAGTAGACTCCTAGAAATTAAGAGAAATGTAGAATAAGCCATTATTTTAATTCTAAGAGCAGCCTTATACTAGAGCAAGAGTTTTAGACTGAGGAAACAAGTTGATTTTAAATAACATATCAGTGTTTTCTCTTAAATGTTCTTTGAATTTGGTAAACATTTATTGGGCACTTACTATGTACCAGGTATTTTAACAGAAGACAGTCGGTATATAAAGTAGCTTATTGTTTCTTCTAGTTTATGTTTTTCCTCACTTTAACTTGTATAAAGTAATTTTACTGTTTAATAAAGAATTTATTTTATTAGAAAGTGCTTCTCTGTGATCTCTCATTGAGATCTCTCTCTTACTACTTTAACTATTGTCATCTTTTGGTGCTTAATCTAAATTGTAGGTAAAATCCTAACCTTCAGATCAGAGCAATGCTGCTAAAAGAATGGAGACCCTAGTAAACAGTTTCACAGTTCAGAAGGAAAAAAATGTACTGAAACATTTTTTTTACATGTATTTTTTGCACATAATTCACATATTTTGCAAATTTTAAATGTAAGATGATTTTCATAAAGTCTCACTTTTTAAAACGGTGTTCTGTTCATAATGTACATTCATTAGGTACATATGTATACAACAAGGACTGTGTTGGTCAATTTACTCTAGCCAACATGAAGTCAACAAGGTGTTCATCTTCACTAATGTACTTTCCTATTAATTTTCATGTTTATAAAACTTGCATTTTACAATTGATACTCCTTTATTCCCAATTCACATAAACGACTTACTGAAAAATGATAAAATAGTACAAATACCACCATTCATAAAAATTTCATAATGTAAATAGTGGAAGGAACTTCAGTGTGAATGCAGAGTTAAAAATCTGTATATTCTGTGCAGGAGATTCTGTGAGTGTGATGTCTTCAAAACATCAACTGAACCATATAAGGAAGGACAATGATAAACATCCAAAATTTTTTTTGGACTGCAATCAATTTACCACGGGTCAATAGCACACAACCTATCAAATATTTGTGGTCAACAGCACACAGCCTATCAAATATTTGCATGTTGCCAAAGTTTTCACATCCTTTTTAAAGCACATTGATTTCTCTCATAAATGAACTTAGGTAATTTTATATTTTCTGGATAATTATAAAATAATACATCTCAGTTTAAAATTTTTTATGCAAGATGGGAGAATAGTCCAAAATTATCGAGGCATCATCCTGAGTTGCATTCCTTAAAGCCAAGTGTAAGATACTGTTGCCAGTTTCTGTCCCAGGCACCTGGCTCACAGGGCTCACTCAGCACCCGGTGGTGTGAAGCCACCTCACTTTAATGACTGGAGTCCCTGCCTGTCTCCCATCTTAGCTCAATCACTTGGACAGTAAGGCACATTTTAGCATCCCTTAATGATTATGTCCATCTGTCCTTTGTTTCCTGCCATCAGATGTAATCCTCAGAAATTACATAGATTTTTATATATATAATAATATAATAATAACACTAGCCTCTAACAACCATGAAGCAATCCATTACATCTGGGTCTGAACTTGTAGACTCAATTCAAATATCAAATCTATAACAGAAGGTAATAATAATAAGGATAAAAAACTGGTTGAGAGGTTATAAAAAAGTCTCACCATTAATAACAAATATTATCAGAGAACAAAAAAGCTACTGGAAAAATCCTATCAGAAAATTTCATAATTCAGTGACATGGAAGAGTAGTTCTTTTCATATGTGTTCTAGAGGATGTTTTATTTTGCAGACAGAACCACTGATGTGCAGTGTCTGGATCATTATTTGGTGTTTGTGTTAACACATATTAAGGGAGAAGTCCTTAACAACTTGTCCTATTCACCCCTGAAAACTTGTGAATATAGAAAACAAGATTACACTGGAAAATAAATTTTGGTGAAGACTAGAAAGGATGTATCATGATCTTTAATGATAGAACACCAGCTATTTGGGTAGCAATGAAGGTGGTGGTTAGGTAAATGAAAGTGTTATGCAAAAAAGCCAAACAACTCATCCCCTTCTTAAAAGAACAGTTAATTATCAACAGTAAACTGTCAAGATGTTAATCCAGTGCCGAAGGGGAAAGAAAATACTAAATCTTATCTCTTAAGACTACACCATTTACTTTTATAACACTGCATGAAAAACTGGGCAGGAGGTGAAACAAAACTTTTTCCTCGATACTGCCTTTTTAGAGGAAAGGTGTTCACATGAGGTTTGAGATCAGAACAGAGATTAAAAGTATTTCTTTGAAACACTGTTAATGTCAGTAAAGGGCTTTTCATTGATTTTAGGTGCCTTCCTCATGTGGCATATCAATCAGTCGACCTACTGTCTTGAAGAGACATCCCTCAGGTCCATAATGTGAATTGTAATGGCAAAGAGATCAGATTATTTTAAGATTACACAACTCTTGTGCAAATGGCTTAGTTGTACAGAGCTTTATCCCCACCTAACCCCCATCTCATTTTCCTGGCTTAATGTAGAAATATTCCATAGTATATTAGAGTACTTCTTTAAAACCACATCCAAATACTGCAATATAACATGAAAGAATTCTTTCCTGAGCTGAATGCAAAAGACAGATTGGGAACCCATTTAACATCATCTGCAGGTAGATTTTTCTTTTGGTGATTCAAGGTAAGATTATTGTGAGAGAAAGTATATGACTAAAAAATAATTTTATATGTGGATCATAAAAACAAGAGGTTTTGTGCATCACATGCCTATTCTTAGAATACCACAGCAGTGACAAGCTTCCTCTTTCATTTGAACATGGTAATATAGAATAGAATTGTGGGAAAAGATAAGATTGCTTATATATCATTCTTTTTTTTTTTTTTTAATTTTTTTGGCTGCACTGTGCGGCATGTGGGATCTTAGTTCCCCAACCAGGTATCGAACCCGCGCCCCTGGCATTGGAAGTGCAGAGTCTTAACCACTGGGCTGCAGGGGAAGTCCCTTATACATCATTCTTAACAGAGATTCAACTAGTTGTACACTAAAAGCTTATACTGACCTGACTTTATATACTTTAAAAAAAAAAAAGCAGTAATCACCTTTTCTCACCAACAATTTAACTGAAATCATTACCTGCATTTTTTTTTTTTTTTTTTAGCAATGATTCAATGCTCTTATTTTCTGTCCTTTCATAACCCCCATATTCTGGCAATTTGTCAGAGATCATTTCACTGTCTTCTTTTACTTTCTACTCAAATAAGGCTACTTTGAAATATTTTCAGTACTGGAGTGAAAAAACTTTAAAAAGAACCTATTTTGGGGGCTCAGATCAAGATGGCGGAGTAGGAGAATGTGCAGCTTACATTCCCCAACAAACAGATCAAAAATACATCCACGTGCAGAACAATTCTCATGGAAAACTAACTGGAAACTGGCAGAACTCCTATACAACCGAAGCTGTAAGAAAGATCTCCACATACTGGGTAAGACAGAAAAGAGGCATAGGGTTGGGACCTCTGCCCCTGAAAGGAATCTGAAAGGAAGAAAAGGTCTTCATGGTCAGACCCTCATCCCGGGGAGCAAACAGGTTGAGCCACAGACTGGGCATGCCAGTCGTGGGGCTCTACACAAAGGAGACAATTGCCCTTGGCTGCTGGGACAACCACTGGGACAGATAGAAAGGCTGGAGAACCCTAGACTCCACTCGTGAAAAGTGTGCAGGTGCTGGCTGTGAAATAAAATTCATAATTTATGGCAAGACAAGAAGAATTTAAATGTAAAAATTTTTCTCTGCCCTTTGGCCTCCTCCCTCTCCTCTACTGTGCATTGAGCATCTGCATTATGCATCAACCAAACCTCCCCCATCGGGAGAAATACCTGCTCAACCACAAAGAGCAACATTCTCCTAGCATCAAAAAGACAACATTCCTTCTTGATCTCTTGATCACACTGTCCTCAGAAAGTTGTTCAGATCGTATCTCATATCTGAATTAGACTATGAAATTAATACTGGGAAACTTTGCCTCAAAGTCCAAACAGCTCCCATGCAAACAGTCACCTATGGGAATATCGGCTGGGTTTCTGTATGTTTGCAAGTACTTAATTGGAAACTAAAGGAAATCGGGCCCTGAAATGGTCAACTTGGGGTTCTTTTGACACTCTAAAAAGTTTTTGAGAGTGCAGTTAAAACCAGCAGTTTTCTGGATCTGTGCCTTTAGGGTCTACTGGAAACAACAGTGGTAAATGTCTTTCTTTTTTCTAAAATTAGATTAGCAGGGAGAAATATTTATATGGCTAGCTCCATGGATCCTTTGAATTGGTGCAACATCTAAATTGTTAAAATTCTAGAGAGCTCTTGAAACTGAGCAGGACCCTGTGGAGCCCTCCCAGGTACAAATCCTTTCCATATCCCCTGTTTCTTGTTTGTAGGAAATAGGCTTCACTCAGCCTCACTGACTTTCCCTGA